ATTTTGCGTTCAGTTGAATAGAATTAATGAAATATAGTGAGAGCGGTCTTTATATAATTAAAATATTATTTTTAATAAGGAATAATTATGGGAAATCTAGGTTAGGCTAGTCGTAAGCTCGCATCATTTTCAGAAGAGATTAAGGATTAACTTGGTTCATAAATATATTGTAATGTTCTTAATTCATACTGATAAGAAAGTTAGAATGAAGAATTATTTGATACAATTGAAATACTTAATAATCAAATCGTCACTGCTTAATATTTTGAAAGTTAGAAATGTAAAGTTTTTGACTAAGAGCTAATAATGATAAAAATACTAGACATAAAAGCACAAATTCTTCACACTTAAAATAATTACTTAATCGCTTATTACGAAAAAGGGATTAGTCTGATTAATTTTATGAACAATATTGAAATGCATATATAAAAAGATATATATTAGACAATTCATGGTGTTAGTTGCATAGTAAAACTGAATGATGATATATTCATTTGTGGATTGCAAAATGGCCACATAAAATTAATGAGCATTTCAAATAGAAATTTCTCTCAAGTATTTTTTATTGATTATTCTAGAAACATATTTGGAATATGTGTTTTTAAAAAGGTAAAAAACTAATACACTATCGCTATATCTGATGAAAATAATGGTATATCAATTTGTAAATTAATTTAGAAAAGCGATTATAATTATCATTTAATTTACCTAAAATCCAAAGTGATTGTACAAAAGTGGATTGACTCAATTAAGCGAATTAACTCTAACATGATCGCTTATACTAATCTTTAAAATAATTGCTTGAAGGTATATGACATTAAAAAGTAGCATCATTTAAAGAGTATTGAGTTTAAATAATCAACACATATATTTTGAATTTCAGACTATGATTATAGATTGAATCCATTGGCTTTTATGAAAGATGATGATTAGATCTCATTGATAAATTTTAGAAACTACCAAATTATCAAAGTCATTGATTCAAACTATAGTCATTATCGATCTTACAACAAGAATGGCAGTTTGTTGAATGAGAGAATTGTAAACTAAGAAGGCAATTTCTACAAATTCATTGACTTATAAAGAGATACTGTATCTGCTGAGATTAGAGAGATGATAATCAGACTGGCTTGAGTTTCAATTATAGTAATAAACAAATCTTAGATTGTTTTATTTATAAA